ATCAAATGGATTTTACCAGTTTTAACAATCTCTTCACCATTGGTTACTTCTCGAATGGTAACAACAATAGTAAAAATGGTATGAGAACGTGAGCTTTGACGGTTTATATTAGTGGAAGCGATATGACGATAATTCGCTCCAATCATCAACATTTCAAATAGTTCGTTGCAATTTTTCACCGGCACTTCAGACACGCCCTTGATGCATGTGGCCCCCTTATTGTTCGGGTCATCGTAGATTCTAAATAAAAAAATTATCTTACTAGAAACCACAAGTGTGTTTTTACCTCAAGCTAGGGCTGTCGGAGAATAAAAGATCGCGGATTTCTTCACTGTATATTTCAACATAGGAAACATTAACGTTGTATTCAACCCCAAGTCGCGATAGTTTATCAAAAATATCAGCCGCCGCCCTTGGTACCATTCCCACCGAAGAGTCCTAAAATGATCATGATAATAATAGCCCCACTGAGTTGCCCATATTTACGTTAATAAAATCAACGGACGGATTGACTGTGTCCCCAACCATGGTGTAAGTTTTGCCCGTTCCAGTCGGTCCGTATGCAAAAACGGTGCAAGTGCACCCTAAGAGCATCGAGTCGACCAAGGGGCGCACAACCACGTCATAAACCTCGGCTTGTGACGCTCCACTCCCGAAGACTTTATCGAAAATATAGTTTTTCTCATTTGCCCCATGCTCAAGGGCGAGTTCGGTTTGACTTGAAAATTTAATAACAGGAGATTGCTTGGCACGAATTTCACTTTTAAAGTAGGGTCTGTAATGTCGTATTCAATTAATTGGGACGTTTTAGAGAAAAATAAAACTCACCTTTGTCTAACGTAGACCTGGATATGAAATAACGGATTCTTGCGTTCAGCCATTGTGTGTAGTACACAAGGGTGCAGTTATTACCACTTTTTCAGGTTTTTTCTTAAAAGTTTAATCACAAAAACTCTCAAGCACTTTCAAAAACTAAATGACCGTTACAAAGTCAAATTGCAAAAGGAATGCCAACCCACAGTCACGAAATACACTAAAAAATCACCCCCACTCGGGGTTGTCGGAATTTATTTTTGTCAATAAAATTTTAATAAAATAAAATAAAGTTTTGTACAAGCACATCTAAATTTAAATTTCATAAATGTGCAAAAATGATACAATTGTAGTTAAAAACAGCCATAAAACATAATTGTAATACTGGTTGCCTATTTAAAGCGTAAATATAGTATTAACTTTTTGTTATTGTCTGTATTTTGATTTAAACTATATTAAACTAATAAAATCCTTATCCGTGGTACCAACACTACCATCAGCAGCATCAGGGGCACAAGAGGCGATGAAGAGGTTCAGTAAAAAAATCCTTGTAATCCGAATTTACTTTATTTACTTAGTCTACACAATTATCTTAAATAATATCACAAAAGTACTTAAAGAATAAAAATGCAAGTCGAGAAATTAAAACATGTTTTAAATACAAAATAAAAACCGATATGATTAGAAAATAATTTGTGTATTTGAATTGAGAGTAAAATTAAAGTTATCACAAGTATTTATAAATAGAATGCTGCTAAATATTTTCTAAAGACAACATACAAAACACAGAAAAGATAGTACATAAATAATTAGCAAAATAATAACAAAAATAATATCAATAACATTAACAACAACAAAACCTAGTAGGTAACAAGAAAAAGTTAAAATTCACTTATCTCCATCCCTTGAGGTGCTTGCTTCATTATCTTGGGTCTCGTGTCGAAGCGTCTTCTTGAACTCCTTTTTCAAAACTTCCTTGGAGAGTTCCGAATTGATCTTTTTCGGATAATCGTACGTTGGCTTCACTGGTGTATCA